ACAAAAAAATATTTTAAGCCATAATTGAAAAGATTTCGATGATTATTTTTTGAATCATTGTCGAAAAACTAAATTTGAAAAAAAAACTCAGATACGTACATACATACATATACTATATGGACATGATCTAAAAATTGCATATTCGAACTCCTGAGATCAAAATTACTCATCCTGGCACAAAAAATGAAAATTTCAGATTTAACGAATACAAGGCTTCCTTTTGCAAGCGAAAAATCTAACTCTCAATTCTTAAAAAAGTTGAGAGTAGATAGGAAAAACAATTAAGAATGAAAAATCCAACTCTCAACTTTCACAAAAATTTTCAAGTAGATTGAGAGAGAATTAAGAATAAAAAATCCTATTTTCATGAACGAAACAATTCAACCTCCAATTCTCAAAAAGGTGAGAGTAGATTGTGAGACAATTGAGAATTAAAAATCCAACTCTTAATTTTCAAAAACATTGAGTCGATTGAAAGACAATAGAGAATAAAAAATGCAACTGTCAACTATAAATAAAGTTGAGAGTAGATTCAGAGAAAGTTAGGAATCAAAATTCCAAAATCAAATTTTCAATTCTGAAAAAAATTGATTGAAATTGAATAAGTCACTAAAAATAAAAAATCCGATTGTCTGTTTTAACCCGTCACTAGGTGCGCTATGAGCGATTTCCTCACAAAACTTTTCACTCCATAGGAAATATACCCTAAAAGCGCCAATCTTTTGCTGAATTTTATTTATATGCTTCAAATAACTCTGCTAGTTGACTCTCGTAGTGATAAAACTCGTCTATTGGTCAGGGTTGAGTAGAAAAATAATATTTTCTTCGGCACAGTCGAAATTTTCCACGTGTTACGGGTACGGGGCTCGTGCTGCAAAACGCCGAATAGCACCGCCTGTGGCGATATTTGGCTCTATTATCACGAGAAGCCGATGAGCGATTCCCTCATCGCGCGTCTCAAGAACGGTGCTGGAACCGCGCGCCTACTGACGGGTTAAAAAAAGTCGATAGTAAAGAAATCGGTTTCCATAAAATGTATTTTTGGCCTCGTCACTCCGACTTTCAACTGACTCTCAATTTTCTCTCAAACACAGGAAATTATGGAGAGTCCAACTATCAACTTGGTCCGCCAAGGATATCCCTATAATTTTCTCGAAAACCGGAGAATTTTTCTAGAATTTTCTCAAAAACCTAAGAATTTTCTAAAACGTTCTCGAACACCTTAGAATTTCCTCGATTTTTTTTTGGAAAATTCGAGATATTGTTACAGGGGAGGGTGGGGCAAAATGAACACCAGATTTAAATAATGAGTTGAATTTGATCAAATCTACTCTTCCGACATCATTTGAAGGTTATAAAAACCAACACATTCTCATAAAACTGCGTCATAAGAAAAAAAACAGGGTGAAATGGACACCTCGATTTCTTCCTCAATTTTTTGTTTCAACAACTTTATTCAATTTCTGAAATGCTAGTCATGATTGCGATTTTCAAATTAAAAAAAAAATATTTTTGACGTTGGTCGTGGGGGGTGGTAAATCAAATTATTCCTTGCGCCTATTGTTTTACGGTGATTTGCTCTGTGAGTAGAAAAGTAGCCATCTTACAAATTTCGGAAATGGACAAAAGGTCAGGTGTGTAAGGCGTGCAATTGATCATTCAAAAAAAATTAATAATTTCAAAGTTATTTTTCTTTATTTTTGAATAGGACCAAATTTTTCGGATGTCCATTTTACGCCACTCTTGAATAATTTCTCAGTTGTGAACTTTGCCAAGAAGCAATTTTTAAAAATCAATTATTGAAAATGTTTTGAGTGTTCATTTTAGTCCCGTGCATACAGATTTATCAGGTGTCCATAATGCCCAATGAGACGATTTTCAAAAATTTGAATTTTGAAAAAAAAAAATTTTCGCAAATTTTTGAGTGTCCATCTTACCCCAGATGTCCATATTACGCCACCCCCTCTAATTTTTTCAAAAACCGGAGAATTTTGCTAGAATTTTCTCGAAAACCTAAGAATTATCTAGAACTGTCTCAAAAACCCCAGCTTGTTCTGGAATTTTCTAGAAAACTGCAGAATTACTTCGAATTTTCGAGGAATTCGGAACATTTTCTCGAAAACCGGAGAATTCTCTCCAAAATCGGAAATATTTTTCGCAAACTTCATAGGAACCATGAGAAGATCTACCGGAAAAAATAAACATGAACAGAATAAGAAACAAAAACTGCGGGACCCCTTGCAAGCCCCACTCTTATGTGTCACCCTGGTTTTCTGCCATTCCCGCAGTTACCGACAACACTATGGTCAGGATAAAGCTTCTTGCTTTGACCGCAAAGTGGGGGGGCGTAAAATCGCCACTCGGGAAAAAAATCTATCCACCCGGGCCTTAACCGGTCACTTTCATGACACTATGTTTTTAATGGATGTAAGGCAGGCGAAGGGTCGCAGTAACCCCCTCCTGGAAGGTTTACGGAAAACTCCCAAAACTCTTTGGGTTACGAACAGAAATATATCGAATGGTCACTTTGATGACACTGTATAAAATATATGAAATTACGGAAGTGACCAGATAGAATAAAATTTCTATATATATAAGGAGTATATTCTGTATCTCCGTAGAATCCTTGGCAATATCGGGAATATTCAGGGAGAATTTCACGTATCTATAAAGCTTAAGAATATATATCTTTTCCTCTCAATTTTTAAAATATTTTTTAGGAGCAAACGATCAAAAATGGCCTTAATCCCAAAAGCTTTTCATGGTCTTTAATAACAACTTTTTTGGGCTGTTTGTTAATGAGATTTTTTTTGTAATCGATTTTTGCGAAACGGTGGCTGGAGTAATTAAACGGGGGCATTGAACAGTGTTCGACTGCCCGGGAGAAAGTCCTCGCTCATTTTTAAGGAGGTTGGGTTTTTCGATGTAGAAAATGGTGGATTTTTCAGAACATTGATTGGCATTTTATTAGAGGGGTGGAGAAGGAGGTCGATGAAGAGGTAATTGAGATTTCATTATAGAAAATGTTGATTGAGATGATGATTGCGTAGTGATGAGAGGAAGGAATGGAGTTGAGAGATAACAAGAGGTGTGTTATTTCCCAAATTTTCGAGCAAATTTGCTAGAAAACGATGATAATTCTAAGGGATTTGCGAATAAAATATTAAATAACTATCGTCCTCTTGGTCTGTAATTTACAGTCAGTAAACATTAATGTAATTCGTCTTCTCAAAAACTGTTTGCCTTCGTGCTATATTTTACTGTTGAATAGGGAACTTGCATAATTTTTTTTCCAATTTTCTAATCTCAAGTTTGCGACCCAAATAATTCATTTTTCATTCCCAAACGTTCAAGACATTGCTCATTGAGTAATAACTTATTGTTATTACTCAAGATTTCCAACGCTTTGAAATCAATAATGACGTCACACAGACGGTTGAGCGTTGGACAAATCACAGAATGCCTCAAGCCTACCTAACCCAATCGTGAGGTGCATCTCGGCCAATGGAGGACAACTCCGACCTCTTTCCACACTCGATCAATAAAGTGTTACTAAAGTGATTTTCACCTGAATATCATAACACATCCAGGCAATATTTCTCAATAATTGTCGTCATCTAGATAACTATATGTTAAGAGAAATGTGTGAATAAGAGATTTGGGAAGAAAGGAGCTCCATGCAATTTTCCTATTATAATCTTCTATGTTTTTATACATGACTATAAATGTAATTCTTGAGTTAATTTTATCGACCGCGGTAATTAGTCATAGGTAAATTTTCAATTGGCTTTTCGGTCACTTTATTAATTAAATTAATGTGGTACACCAACGTTTCAACCCTCATTGGGGTCCTCTTCAGGGTGAATACAATTATAAACAGTCTGTGTGAAATAACAGAGGAAGAAAAGAAAATTATAGAAAGCAGTTAACTACATAAATCATGTATAAATAGTCACATTGAGAGAAAGATTGCAAACATACCATATACAATTCATTAGCCCATGATGAGCCTTGTCAATAACCGCCAGATTGTAATATAAATTATTGTAAGTAAGTGGAGAATTGAGGTTAGAAAGTCACTGGCTCCAATTCTGTGTCAAAAGTGACCGAGTTTTCGTTTTTTAAAATGATCTGAATAACCAAAAACGACGCAGTCAGCAAAATCACGAAAATTAACAGCGTGTTATGTTAAACAAAATTAATAAAAACCAGTTGATTTTACAATAAACACAGCCATGCTGCAACACCATGTCATGTTATGATGCTCAACTCAAGACAACTTCCAATTCACAAGTACATGAAAACTGATGTGAGCAAGAAACCCTAGGGTGGCGAAATTTCCCTATGACCAAAAGTTACTAGCTTCTAACAATATAAGTAATAATTAAAAATTGAGACAACAGCATTGAAATGATGTTGCTCAATGTACTATGAGATCGCAAAAACCTTTTTCCTATTTAATTAGCGAACTATAGACGGAGGTTAATCGATCTATATCAGACCGGAAATTCACAGAATTGGGTTCTCTCGTGATGTGAATCATCTCTAATATATCACGTTTATATTGTTGTTTCTCCGTTCCCAAGATCTTTACTCTATTGTAGTCGAACCGATGGTCCTGATCACTTGCATGTTTAGTTAAAGCTGTGAATTTCGAAGGAGACAAGTTCACGTTGTTTTTGTGTTCCTTAATCCTTACATGTAGTGGTCTCTTCGTTTGTCCGATGTATAATCCTTCACAGTTACCACAAGGAATCCCGTATACGAGATTTGTCTTCATCTCTAAAGCGAGTGGATCCTTAGTTGGTTTTAACATACTTCCCAGTTTGTTAGGATTACTGCAGACCATACCAAAACTATGACTGGTTATCGCTCTTCTCAGTTGCTGAGTTAGACCATCGATGAAAGGTAGAACCAATTTAGGTGCTTCCAGTACGGCTGCTCTCACCGGTCCATTGTTGCATTCTCTCTCTTTCAAAACTGAATCTAGACTTTATGTGATGCTCAATAAACTCCTCAGGATAATCATTATCCAGGAGTGTATGTTTGATAGACAGTAAGTTCTTCTTTCTCTAATTCCTCATTACCATCGAAAATAATGAACGAGTTCATTAAAAGAGAGAGCATGCGACTGGGAAAAATTAAAACACAAAGCAAGAAACGATTCGTCAATAAGCTTAAATTACTCCTTGAGAACAAGAACTAACCGCCTAATAAGCATACTGATAAAGGGAAACCCAGCATAGAATTCCCGTCAAATCGTTCGAAATGGTTAATCAACTTATCATCAGTCGTACTCCCTGACGATGTTCAGAACCTACTAGCTCTTGGTCCAGGACACGGATTCAAATACAACAAGAAGAACTTTCCAACTGACAGCTTGATCACTGAAGTGGAGTTAAAAATAATGTTGGTGGATGAGAAAGACAGAGAAGAACTCACAGGTCAACTCGTGAACATTATATCAAGCCATAAAAACAGACTAGACAACAAAAAACCCCTGATAACGTCACGCATTTAAAAAGGTTCTTGAAAGAGCATGAGGATCTAACTATCACCAGAGCTGACAATGGAAATGTCACTGTCATCCTCCCCAAAGGTAGATATAACGAAGCAGTTCTGAAACTTCTGGAAGACAAAAACGCGTATTCCGAACTTAAACGTAACAAAACATTAGCAACTGAGAGGAAAACTAATGATTTGGTGAAATCCTGGGTCAAAGGTGGTTATATATCTGACTCGCTAGGGAAATTCTTACGATGCAGGAATGGTGCTTGTCCGAGGTTATACGCCTTGCCTAAAATTGATAAAAAGGATGTTCTGTTCAGACCCATCGTTTCGTCTATTGGTAGTCCCACGTATGCACTGTCATCGTATATAAAAAAGATCATCTCTAGTGGCTACCGAGGCTCTTTCTCTGAAGTTAAGAACAGCTTCGATTTTCATGATTACCTCACCAAAGTAACAATTCCACCTGACTACACATTAGTATCTTTGGATGTGAGTTCTCTATATACAAACGTTCCCCTGGACCTCGTCATCAAGTCCATGGAGAAGAGAAAACACAAATTCGACACAAAAATCGAGTTTCAAGAGTTGACACACGTTGTGAAGTTTATCATGTCTTCCACAACTTTCAAAGTCAACGACAAGTTCTATAAACAAGAGTGTGGTCTTCCCATGGGGTCTCCACTCGCCCCAGTCTTAGCTGATATGGTTATGCAAGACTTGGAAGCTACTTGTCTAGATAATCTTGGCTTCGAAGTTGCTTTCTATAAAAGGTATGTAGATGATATCATCACCGCGGTTCCCGCAAACTCAATCCAAGATGTAGTCAGGTGTTTCAACAGCCATCATGAACGCTTACAATTCACTTTTGAGGAAGAGTCAAATGATAGCATGCCTTTTTTGGATTTGAGGCTGATTCGCCAAGGAAACTCCATCATAACCGACTGGTACAAGAAACCGACTTGGTCGGGTCGTTACCTAAACTTCAAGTCTCATCATCCATCGTCTCGAAAAAGAGGAGTGGTGTACATGTTGGGTGACAGGACTGTTAAACTTAGTCATCTAACTTTCAGAAAAAAGAACTTAGAGCCCATCAAACATACACTCCTGGATAATGATTATCCTGAGGATTTTATTGAGTATTACATAAAGTCGAGACTCAGAGTCTTGAAAGAGAGAGAATGCAACAATGGACCTGTGAGAGCAGCCATACCGGAAGCACCTAAATTGGTTCTACCTTTCACCGATGGTATAACTCAGCAACTGAGAAGAGCGATAACCAGTCATAGTCTTGGTGTGGCCTGCAGTAATCCTAACAAACTGGGAAGTATGTTAAAACCAACTAACGATCCACTCGTTTTAGAGATGAACACAAATCTCGTATACAGGATTCCTTGTGGTGGGTGTGAAGGATTGTATATCGGACAAATGAAGAAACCACTACATATAAGGATTAAGGAACACAAAAACAACGTGAACCTCTCTCCTTCGAAATTCACAGCTTTAACTAAACCCGCAAGTGATCCGGACCATCGGTTCGACTACAATAGAGTAAAGATCTCGGGAACGGAGAAACAACAATATAAACGTAATATATTAGAGATGATTCACATCATGAGAGAATCCAATTCTGTTAATTTCCGGTCTGATGTAGATCGATTAGCATCGGTCTATAGTTCGCTAATTAAATAGGAAAAAGGTTTTTTCGATCTCATAGTACATTGAGCAATTTCATTTCAATGCTGTTGTCTCAATTTTTAATTATTACTTATATTGTTGGAATCTAGCAACTTTTGGTCATAGGGAACTTTCGCCACCCTGGGGTTTCTTGTTCACGTCAGTTTTCATGTACTTGTAAATTGGAAGTTGTGTCGAGTTGAGCGTCATAACAACATGACATGGTATTCCAGCGTGGCTATTTGTATTGTAAAATCAACTGGTTTTTATTAATTTTGTTTAACATAACACGCTGTTAATTTCTTTTATTTTGCTGACTGCGTCGTTTTTGGTTATTCAGATCATTTTAAAAAACCAAAACTCAGTCAGTTTCCACACAGAATTGGAGCCAGTGGCTCTCTAACCTCAACTCTCCACTTACTTACAATAATTTATATTACAATCTGGCTGTTATTGACAAGGCTCATCATGGGCTAATGAATTGCATATCGTATGTTTGCAATGTTTCTCTCAATTTGACTATTTATACATAATTTATGTAGTTAATGGTTTTCTATAATTTTATTTTCTTTCTCGGTTATTTCCCACAGATTGTTTATAATTGTATTCACCCTGAAAAGGACCCCAATGAGGGTTGGAATGTTGGTGTAACACATTTAATTTAATTAATAAAGAGAACGAAAAGCCAATTGAAAATTTATCTATATGGGACATTCCATGTCAACTCAGCCACACCGGATTTTTTTTTGTCTGGGAAAAATCATTGAGTAGGTGCATTTTGAACTACTACATATAGACAGTGATCATGAAAAATTTCATTGCCCTGCCACTTTTTGTTTCTGAGATAATCATTATGAAACTTGTAATTTTCAAAAAATCATTACTTCTGCATGGAGCTTCGGATTTTGATAAATAAAAAAAGAAAATTTTTTTTTTTTTTCGTACTTCAAGATGAAAAATACTTCAGTGCCATCAAGAAGCTCCTAGCCCAGTTTTTTGAGAATTTTTCGCGTTTTCATTTTTTTTTCACTCTAGGGCCGCTCGATATTCGATCGAAATATTTTTTTTATGATAGAGGATGTCCTTATATGATATGAAAACAATACGCCATAAAGGAAGAGCGAAGCAATGCACCGGAATTCTTTTTTTTTCAAAATTTTTGGGTTTTTCAGTTTTTAGGGGAGATCCATCGGTTTTTTTTAAGAAATGGGTCTGTCAACCATTATTCTTCGTTCATATATGATGACATAAGACTACACCATCATGTAACGGAGAAAGAGTGCGCCGAAAATAGTATAGTGTCATTAGGACCGTAGACGGAGGTTTGCGATGAGTGTGAAGTTAGCAGCACGAGGCGTCGGTAAGACAGGACGAGGCGCGCCTCGTCCTTTCTTACCGACTGCCGAGTGCTGCTAACTCACACGAATCGCAAACCGACGTCACGGTCCGTATGACACACACTAATTTTTGTCATGAAGGCCCGTTGACGGTGAGGGGGAGGGGAAGGGGAGGGGGCGNAGTCCGTGAATGCCCATAACCAAATCAGCCTATAAATAAAATGTTATCACGTTCATCATTTGTCCATTCATTTCAGAACCGAATTATTTCAGGAGAAAATGTCGAAAGATTTTCTTTCAGCTAGTTAAATTTAAAAAAAAAATGTCTTTCTACAATTTTCCAAAAAATGAGATGTTCAAATTGTTTACAAACTCTGAAATTTTGAGATTCTCATCATATACCTTTGCTGCTAGATAGTTCCTGTCGGGTGCCTCCTCCAAGAATCTCGCAACGTTTTCATCAGTGAAAACCTCTGATTTTTTAGTCTCGTGATCAGATCTCTTGGCATTTGAACTCAAAAAAACGGTGATTTTCTTGAATTGGGAAATGTCAATAGAATTGTACTGGAGAATAGTCTTATTCAGCATTGAATATATTGCCCAGAGTGATTTTGGAGCCATTCCAGGCTTCTTCGTTTGATCCTGGGGAATACCGTTTGGTCTTTTCAGCATGTTAAAGTATCCCAACATCACTGTATCGTAAATTGTTTTCATTTTTTTCTCCTGGAGAAAATTCTTAAAATTACGATAGGCTCGATCGTAAACGGGTCTGGATTTTTCAGGAATAAATGTAGACGTAGCCTCTTTAGCGTTGTCGAGAACATCCTGAGCGATAAAATCTTCATCTTCGAAGTCCTCCTGGTTTTCTCCATCTTCTGAGATATTTTGATAATTTAGAGAGCTCACATTTGCTGATGCGTTAGATGATGAGGTTTGGACATTGGGTGTTTCATCAAAAAGATCGGGAGACACGATTCCTGCATCGCTCTCATCACTATCAGGAACAAAATTGTCCATTTTGTGATCTCACAAATCAGTAAAAAAATCTCACAAATTAGCTGCACTCGTAACGGTATGACAATATAACCCTCAAGTTACGACTGACTCCCTAGCAACGGAATAACAACTCCTGATGTCATCGGCAATGACGGTGGCGCATCGTATTAGTGGTGAACGATCCGCCGAGTTTTCAAGCAAGTGACAGCGATAACCGCACACTTCATGTTGTATTCCTACGAAGGTTTTGTGGGTTGCCCATCTAGAAACTGTATGTTTTTATTGTCCTAGGGCTGCTAACTCGAGTTAACCATACCTGTGCTTCGTTTAACAGACCTGGTCTGTTAAACGCCATTTAGCTTCCCTCAAGACAGCTATAGTAGGCGCTACCTAACGGGCCTGAATGACGAAAAAAAATTTTTCGTCGAAATTTTTACTGGAAGGGTAGATAGTTGAATTGAACATTATCATCATCGGAAGTTTACTAAATTATGATCAACCAAATGCGAGGAAGAAACAGATGGAATCAATTAATTGATTTATCATCATCAGTCGGTTCCAAGGCTTTAATTCTAGAAAAAAACCTCAATGTCTCGATTGATTTTTTATCACAATACGATTATGTGTGGATGGATTAGCCACCTCCTATATTATTCTATTCTTGCAACGAGATAAGAAATTTTCACGTTGATTATATAGAAATGATCGTTATTCTCGGAATTGATATCTTCGGATTTCATAGAATGCCGCGGAGTGATAGATGTACGAATCCAATGCGGGCTCCTGGTGAGAAGGGACACCTCGGTTATAATTTACGTCCGATTTCCTTGACATTACACGAAAAATTTCCTTTTTTACCATTGTCTGCGAAAATCTGTGGTCAATGCTGAACGAGAGCTCCAATTTATGTCCATCCTCCATCTGTCCCCACGGTTGAACTTAATGCTACACATCTTCAGCGTTCGGAAACTCCACCTGATATATCAATGCTCCAAGCCGAAACATGTGACCCAAGTCTGGATGTGATGAACAGTTCTCTGAGATCAGGTCGATCTTTCCATCTTGATGATTCCGGCATATCACTCGACGACGAACCAGACGATGAAGCTGAATTCGACAGTTCTTCCATGGATTATGATTCGGAAGATGACCAAAGTGACATTGATCCATCTTCATCTAAGTAGTATCGATCTGCGAGAGAAATAGAATTAGAAGAAATGTTGGATGGTTTGAAGCAGAAATTCAACGACCTGCAAAACTACCGTGAGTGCCTGCAAATCTTCACGGTTCATCCACAGTCGTGGAGTGCGCGGAATATTGCTTCTGAATTTGGAACTACCAGATACATGACGTCAAGCGCGAAAAGATTGAAAAAAATTAAAGAAGTGTTTGCTTCACCAATTGCGAAAGCAGGTCATTCACTACCCAGCACAACCGTTGAGAAGGTACACAATTTTTACCTAGAGCATAGTCGCGTTATGCCAGGTATGAAGGATAAAATATCCATCAAGATCAATGGAGAGAAGAAAGTAGAGCAAAGGCGAATGATACTCGAAAATCTAAAAGTCCTTCATCGGAAGTACAAACATACGAATGAAGATGCTAAGGTCGGTTTCAGTAAGTTTGCCGAGTTGAGACTTAAACAATGTGTAGTGGCGGGAGCAAATGGCACTCACGTGGTATGTGTTTGTACGTATCATCAAAATTGCAAATAGATGCTAGAGGCAATTAATATTGCGACTCGAACTAAAGATTCCCCCTGTCCACTCAGAGTTTACAAAGATCGTCTAGCAAAATTGATGTGTTCAAATCCAAACCCGGCCTGTCATCTGGATGAATGTAACGATTATCCTGGAGTGAAATCATTATCATGTGAACTCAAGAAACTTCTCTTTGATTCTGTCGTGGAAATGGTCGAATTTCGCGTATGGCAAAGTACTGACAGGTCTACCTTGCAGACACAGACCCTCCCGATGGATGAATTCATTGATCTTCTAATGGAACGATTGATAGTATTGAAGCCCCATCACTTCATCGATAAAGAACAATCGGCTTTTGTCACACAGCGAAAAGAGAATTTGGATAATGGAGAAGTACCAGTGCATTGTGATTTTTCGGAAAATTACGCTTTTGTGGCTCAAGATGCTGCTCAATCCTTCCACTACAATAATGAACAGTGTACAGTTCACCCCGTTGTTTACTACTATCACGAAAAAAATGAAATCCAACATCGGAGTTTAGTCGTTTTGTTGGACAGTACGACTCACAATACTGCCGCTGTTTATTTGATACAGAAGATTTTAATACAGCATGTGAAAAACAACTGTGAAAGCGTGGAGAAAATGATCTATGTCACCGATGGAGCTGCGCAACATTACAAGAATCGTTTTCAGATCACGAATCTCTTACATCACAAAACTGATTTTGGCATAGATGCGGAAGCCCTTTTTCATGCAACCGCGCATGGTAAAGGAGCTTATGACGGAGTAGGAGTTGTCTTTAAGAGAGAAGCGAGNGATCTATGTCACCGATGGAGCTGCGCAACATTACAAGAATCGTTTTCAGATCACGAATCTCTTACATCACAAAACTGATTTTGGCATAGATGCGGAAGCCCTTTTTCATGCAACCGCGCATGGTAAAGGAGCTTATGACGGAGTAGGAGTTGTCTTTAAGAGAGAA